AGAGGGATGAAGTGGTGCCCCCCCCTCCCCGGGCATCCAGGCTCGGGGGGGGGGGCTCACGCTCATTTCGAACCCCCTGCCCAGCAGAGACCCCGGTTGGGAAACTGAGCCCCAGCAGGTGTCTTGACTTGACCAGGTTGTCCTCCAGCCTAAGAGGAAGAAGCAGCTTCTGCCTTAGGATGCTAAACGTTTGCGGTGATGGAGGACAGCAGGGTACCAGGTAGTGGAGAGCTTTCCTCTAGGGCAGGAGAGGGGCATCTCGAAGGGGGAGGGTGGATGAAGCCAGAGAAGAGTCCACCAGGCCCCACATGGATCTGGGGAGCAATGAGGGTTCAGGGCTAAGGGGGGGTGTTAGAGGAAAACACTGCCGTCTTCCAAGGGCCGGGCTGGGCATTTCCCCTGGTCTTTGAGTCTAAGAACAAGGGGGCAGCCCCGTTCGAGACACAGCCCAGTGACCTTTCTCTAGGGCACCAAGAGGGGAACTTTGGGGGGAGACATGGAATCTGAAGCAGCCGCCATCCCTTGGGGCTCAAACGAGGTGGCGTCAGGGTTCAGCCTCACCTGGCAGGATGGGTCTGCCGGTAAGGTGATGCTCCTTGCTCGAATCACCAGCTGGGGGCTTCATTTTTCCACTCTCTCTCTCTCTCTCTCTCTCTCTCTCTTATTTCCAGAGCTGGTCCAAATGGTTAGAGGAGGGTCCGGAGCCCCGCCAGGGAGGGTCCGAGGAAATGGAGCCGGAGAAGGGTTTCCTGGCAGGAGCCCCGGACTCAGACGATGGGGTGGCCCCCTGGCTCCGAAACGCCCGGGAAGGGGCGCCCCTCTCGGAATCGGCCCTCCAGCGGCTCTTTGGGGACGTCCTGGGCTCCTCCCGGAGGTACAAAGGCCGGGCCAAGAAGGGAGTCTCGAGGGGGTGCTTCGGCGTCAAGCTGGACCGGATTGGGGCCTTCAGTGGGCTGGGATGCTAGACCAGGAGCAGGACGGTAAGAGGCCGGAGGGGGTCTTCTGCACCCGAGCATGAAAAAAAAAAAGGAATTATTTTTTCCCAGGACTACAACTCCCATGCTCCCCCAGCCAGCCAGACCATAGGGGATTCAGGGCGTGGTAGTCCAAAAAGTGTAATCCTGCCTGGATTTTGTGGCTGCTTCCTTGTGGCTACCCAGACCATAGGAGATTCAGGGCATGGTAGTCCAAAAAGTGTAATCCTGCCCTCCAGGTTCATCTACACACAGAAGCAATTTCGTTCCACAGGATTCCTGGCTGGGTTTCTTTTTTTTAGCCTCATAGAAATGTGTAGTCCAGAGAAAACATGCAAGGCGGCTAGATCTTTTTTAAACAGGGGTGGCGAAATGTCAGCATTCCAGATAGTTTAGATTCAGGGCATGGTAGTCCAAAAAGTGTAATCCTGCCCTCCAGGTTCATCTACACACAGAAGCAATTTCGTTCCACAGGATTCCTGGCTGGGTTTCTTTTTTTTAGCCTCATAGAAATGTGTAGTCCAGAGAAAACATGCAAGGCGGCTAGATCTTTTTTAAACAGGGGTGGCGAAATGTCAGCATTCCAGATAGTTTGTCCAACAGCTCCCCAAGACCCACCCCCTCACCTCTATGGCCAAGGGTAAAGGAGGATGGGATTTGTAGTCCAAACTGGAGTGCCAAAGGTCTGCCACCCCCTGACTAGAAATGAATAGTTTTGCAGCCAGTCGGGTGGCCTTGATGGGGTGGCGTGGGGGGACGATAGATCCATGCTGGTATTCTCTCCGTGGTCCTGAACCTGTTTGGCAAGGTTTGGCTTTTTTTTTCCGTACAGCCCCCTTTAAAGTCCGGACTAAAACCCAGAGCAGATTCACGGACGCACCACTCAACGGCTCCTGCACTGCCAGAGTCCACTGGTTTGTCGATATAGATTGAAAACAGTTGCCTAGATTTTGTGGCTACTTCCTTGTGGCTACCCTTAGGGCCTGACCCCCCTGCCCCATGGATGAGGCTTCCAAAACTGACCCAAACGTGACACCCTTTTGCTTCTCTTCCTTCCCAGGATCGTCCTCGTCGCCTTTACGAAGACCCCGCCGGCCTCCCACAGAGATACACACACACACACCCCGGTCGCCTCTTCATCACCCATCCACACATCCATATTTACAATTGAAATCTGCTTCCCAGAAAACCACAGCCCCGAAAACATTGTAACTTATTTTATTTTTTAAAAGCATGAAGAATTCATTTACTAGATGGGGTAGTGGGGATGGCTTCCTCTTTTTAGATAGCTTCTCCACCCCCCTTATAAAAAGAGCATGAGGATTGGTGATTTTCATTACCCCACTTCTCAATTACCTTCTCAAACTGGAGACTCCAAGTCCAGGAGTACTCTACCCCTGAAGGGCAGCTGAAGGAGAGCCTCTCTTATCTTTTCCTTGAGGCTCAATGAGAAGCAGCAGGCGGTCCTCTGCCGCAACCTGGATGCTGAACCTCACCGACCTGTCCCTAGTAGCAGGCAAGGGTTCCATCATCTGTCGGAGGGCTGATTCGTTCCGAGTTTTTGCTGAGACTGGACGTGAGCCACCCAGCTTCTTCTAAGTCAGGTTCAGCACCTCGGACAGCTCTTCTAAAGCTGAGAGGGAAAGCCGGAGTGGATTTAGTGCCCCAGTGAAATGGGAGCCACCGGCTTAGTCAGAGTGCCTCTAACAAGAGCCAGCCTGCATGTGTGAATGCTCCAGCCCAGATAAAAGCTGAGGTTTGAAACATCGGGGTTTTTTTTACGTTCCCCAAGGAGAAGTCATCGAATTCACAGATTGCATGAACCAGGCTCCTACTTCAATCCTCTTTCATACCCAGAGTTGCATTTTCATCATCTGTGTGCATTTTTTTTGTTCCATGTCCCATCCATTTATCTGTAAATTTCTTCCATGGAAATGATGATCAAATAAACCAGTTTTCATAATTTGTCCAATTCGTGTCCAGTGCTTTGGGGAAAGAAGGTGTAAATTCCAATGGTGTTCGTTCTTTCTCTTTCCTTTTCTTTACCTTGGTTGAAATCATCCATGACAAATGCCAGATGCAAACTGGCTCATTTCCTCGAGTCGCCAGATGCTGACCAGCAAGCGCTCCAGAGGTGGCATTAGCTGGGCTTGTGTATCTAAAAGGAAATTAGGTTTAGGGAGAAAGAGAAGTTGCGCTTAAGGACCAGGGGTATAAATGTCGAGCCACCCACAAATATCACAGCACCTCTCCCCATATCTGTTCCTCAAAGGAGAGTCCAGAAATGCAAGCAGTGGTTTGATCCTGATCAACAAACCAATCCTAGCTGTCTTTCTCTCCCTCGGGAGCATGTCTTTTGTAAAAGTAACGGTTCTTGATTGCTTGTTCAAAACTAGGCCTCTCCCTAAACCTTTTAGCTAACCACAGGGATGGATGTTATTCTTATGCACTGTCAGGTCACCTCCAACTTACCTCAACCCAATAGATTCAAAAAAGAGCCTGCCCAAGTCTTCCAAACCAAAAGCTGTGGCTTCCTTTATTGAGTGAATCTCTCTCATTTGCGGCCTTCCTCTTTTCCTGCTGACTGCCCTTTTTTTTCCTGCAAGGACACAAGGGCTCAATGTTGAGACCCAAAAGCTACCAGAAACCCAAACTATTCAGGGTTCCGAGTTCAAGTTTCAGGAAAGGCACTGGATGGCTTCAAAGGAGTCTTCCTTTCTCTGCCTTTCTGGCTGATCTATCTCACAGGGTTGTTGTGAAAATAAAGACGACGATGAGAGCAATCCCATGCGTCATCCTGAGTTCACCCGAACCAGCATGGATGGGCAGACACATAACCTAGGACAGTGCAAAGCTGGGGCAGGAGGGGGGGCTTCCCTCCCTCCCAGTTATGGGGTGAAACGCTCCACTCCCTAGGCCTGTGAGTCTCCTCTACATAAGATAAACAAGCCAGATCCTTCAGGTTTGGGTACACCGTTTGTACACATCTCCCTGTGCTAGCAGCAGCTATTGAATCTCTCCCCCCCCCTGCTCCTTCCGGGCATTATAAATAATATTTTTCCGCCCCCATCTGCAGAAATCAATTCCCAGCAAAGAGCTGGATCCCACTGTTCCGCCTCATCGCACGCCCCCATAATTAAACAAGGACGACACAGGGGGGGAGGACCCCCAAACTCAGCGACCAAAGGTGTTTAAAGAACAGATTTCCCCTGGCATCAAAGACTCCCTAATTAAATGCCACCGACTTCACTGGCTGGACTTGTGTGGATCCTTATTAGCCTCTAAACGGAGCCGGGAGGGGACGGGGGGGCCAGAGTGGACCTTTGAAGTCGAGTACAAGATGAACGAGGACAAGTATCCGCGGGAATGACACAGCAGGCGATTTGCTTTCTACCAAGAGGAGGAGGAGAAGGGAGAGCCACGAACCACATTTTATTCAGGAGTGAACGCTGGCATCTAGAAAGACATAGAGGGACCCTCCGTCCGTCCGTCCGTCCTTCCTAATAAATAATCACCATCATAATTAACAAAACTGCAAACCTGAAATTTGAGCCCAATTCTGGTGTGTTTCAAACTCTGGTGTGTGTGTGTGTGTGGGAGCATAGAAAATAAATGATGTGTCAGAATAGCTGCGTAGGGTCTTTATAACGATGCCACCTTCGTAGGACGGCCGGATCCTTCTATCTAGACCATCGATCTATTTGTTCAGTGGTGGCTATTAAATTCAACCGGAGCTGATCGGCCGGGCCGCTCCGGCGAGAACAAAATCCATAATGCCTTCATTAAAAGGCGCAGGAGGGAGACTGGGGAGGAGGGGGGCTTTTCCAGAAGTCTCAAATCTTTACCCTACTGGTTAAAACCAGTTTCCTTATCACCCCCCCCCAAGTGGCCTTGTTCGTCGGGGCCTAGCTGGCTCGAAGCAGCGGGAGTGCTTCGCCCGAGAGTGGTATAAAGGTGGCTGGCCGGCTGGCCGAGAGGGATCAGACAGCCTTGAGACCTCCGAGGACCCACAGAGAAGGAGACACCATGACCGGCTCAGCCCTGCCCCGATGGTCCTCTTTGATGGTGGTGATTCTTCACACAGGGCTCGGCTGGGCACATCCGGTGACAGGGAGTCCCTCTGGCCACGAGCTTCAATCCCTGGAGGTAAGGAGGAGGAGGAGAAAGCACTCGGGTTTTGGTGAGTGGCAGCTGGAGGAGATCCTCACAGCCCTAGCCAGTCACTGGGGACAATTGGCATTGTAGTCTTGCCATGCCCAGTGTACGCTTCTGTCCTCTCCCACGCAGGACCTCCTTGAGCGGCTGAAGGAGAAAGTTCAGCAAGGGGATCTGGAAGTTCCCAGCTATGAGGCAGGGAACGCCGACGACAGCTCCTACCTTGATCTAGGCGACTCCGAGTCCCATCCCTTCAGGCAGCTTGACCTTCTGCCCCCACTCCCCCAGGCGGAGGTGGAAGCCCAGTGGAGGAAATTCTTGGCCTCGCCAAAGCGGAGGAGGCACTTCTCCGGATGTTTCGGGACCCGGCTGGAACGGATTGGGTCCCAGACGGGGCTTGGGTGCAAGATCTACAAACCCCGTAAGGACTTTTGACTCAGAACCTTCTCCTTGACCATTAATTATGTCATCGTGAAGCGCGAAGGCCCCGTCATTCCTTAACAAGCTCAAGTAGGGGGCTCAGGGGTGGCTGTTCCCTTCCTTGCTGTATGGTCACATCAACCCTGCGAGGCAGGCCAGTGTAAAAGAAAACAGAAACCCAGACTTTCTGGCTGCTTTCAATCCTCAAAATACCTTTCTTTCTTTCTTTCTTTTTTTCTTTCTTTCTTGATTTAGGTTCCCGAAGGAAAACCAGGAGTTGAAAAACAGAGGGAAACCATTGATCCATCAAGGTGTTAAGAGCAATATCATCTTTTTAAAAAACAAACTCCCAGTCTGTCCAGAAACAATTTATTCCCTCTTTAAAATATGCAGATGAGTATTTTAGATTTTGTTTTTGTAATAGCGGACCATCGATGGTGTGTAATTGCCAGTTTTGTTTGTTTTTCTTACATTGCAATGGCAGACGTCATGCTAAATCTTGCACAAATCAATAAATGTTTTGTAAAAAAGGAGTATTCTGTGTGTTGGTTTTTTTTGGGGGGGACACAAATTATGAAAAGTTTCAGAAGCCCCTCTGAACACCCCTTACAGTCGAGTGATTAATAATATTTTTGTTGTGTTATTCACCTCTTAGCAGCTAAAGGCTCTGATCAATGGTCAACCTCTCAGAGGTCTGTCCTAGACAAGTACAGTTGATTTCACCAGTAAAGACCACACTGGAAAAATGTTCCTTTTTTCCAAAAAGTTACTTCCAGAAGCTTCCCACCTAGCATGGCCCATGGAGCCTTGTGGATCATAGGAGCTGTAGTCCAGCCAAGCAGCTCCCCACCCCATCTGCCTTACCCTCAACAAGCTTGTCTTGAGTTCCAGGTATGGGAGAAGGTTTCATTCCAGTTCAGTGTTGCCCATCTGTCTGGATTTATGTTACTCTACCCACTGGTTTCCCCACCCAAACCTTAGCCCCGCCTACCAATGGAAGGCAGGTCTGGTGAGATTCGCATTCAGCCCCCGGATCAGAAAGATTTCCCCACCCATTCCTGGGGTGTGTGTGTATGCTGGAAGCAAGAAAAAAGAACCAAGGATTGGTGCTGAAGGTATCACATGCACCCCAAGAGAATATATATATATATATGGGGTGGCAGGTGGCAAGCACAGGATCAGGCCAAGCAGGAGAAATACTCAGAAATCATCTGGAAATAAGAGGGACTGGGGGGGTGGTTGTCTACCTTACTCCTCTGGCCTTCGTTTTCTGGATTGTGTCCCATTTTGAAAGGCAGGAAAAAAGAGAGGAAGGGAGGGAAATGAAAAAGAAAAACATACCAGTCTGTGAAACTTCAATATTCATTCAATTCATATGCAGTCAATTGAATAGTGATTAATTCTGAAATTCTTGGGTAAAAACAAAATGTCTGCTGAGATGAACACTTCCAGGCCATGCCAGTTTTAGAGTTTATGAAAACACAATACAGTATCTCCTAGTCCGGGGGGGGGGTACTGATCCACCCACCCCAAAACACACACATACACACACACACCCCCCCCGCTTGCTTAAGAAGGATGGAGGCAGCCACTCCGGAAGAGCCTCAGCTTCAGGACCTTGGAGAGCAGCCAGGCAGAAGGCTGGCTGGCTCTGGTTTCCCCACCCAAACCGAACTGCGGGATGGAGGACAAACTCCCCCGGCCTCTTTGCCAAGATCACACAACACACCGCAAAGAACAGGGGATGCGCCGCCAGATTGCAGCACACCTTTCTACCTCCTTGCCCTCACCGCTTCTCACCTGCTGTTCAAGTCTTCGGGAGTTCCAACGGATTCTGGGGGCCAATGGGTGTCTTATAGGCTTTCTCCCTGGCCTCCTCTCCGAGCAGCACCAGGTGGTGTCCAGGGCTTCGTCCCCCATCCACTTTATGACCCACCGCCACAGCCCTGAGAGGTAGGCCAGGAGGGAAAAGAAAGTGACGTTGGCCAGTGAGTTCCCCGGCTGTCCAGCAATTAGGAACCCCTCGCCTCCCAAGTCCCAGTTGGATGACTGCATGGCCCTGCTCCTCCTCCACAGTTTCAAGAGCCAGGTCCACAAGGCAGATGCCTAAGTGGCAAATTCCCGGGAGCCGGGTTCGAAATACAGCAAAAAAGCCTCGGGGGCAGAACCATTTGTGGTGGGAAAGGCCAGCTAAGAAGCTCACCCAGAGAAGCACCGGTCAGGCTGACAAATTTGCTTTTTAAAATATTTTATTTTATTTTATTTGAGACAAAGATAGGAGTTCTATGCATTTCCGCGAGACTCACTGTCATTTTGGTACTGTTAACAGACAGGCTTATGACTTCATTAGTACCTAGCTGAGTTTCATCTCTGAGGAATCCACAAGGATGTTAGAATGCAAACCCCATTTTAAGACTAGAAAATGGGAAATCAGTTGGTATGCTAGCAGCCTCTTGTTTCTTCTGAAAGACAGTCAAGGACAGTCACCTGCCAGTAAATGTAATTTAAAATTGCATTTTTGTGTGTGCCTGGTTTTGCTAGGATACAAACCTAATGTATACATACAAACCTAACAAGTGAAGAGGGAAAAAAAAACAGAAACACCTTCAGTAGAGAAAGAGAGAAAGGAAAGACTCAGAAAAAAACACTCCATAAATTGCAGGCCCTTCTCAATTCCCCTAAGGAGACGCAGGCACTTTCCAGATACATCAGGTTTAATGTTTTTTCTAATTCACAGAGGATTTCTCTACTCAGAACGGGTGCCCTTTTCTCTCTCTGAACACTCCGTGGTCAGCCCAAAAAGGTTGAAAGTTGGGATCGTCCCGAATGAGGCATGTGAGACACATTTTAAAACCCACCAGTGCCCTTCTCAATTCCCCTAAGGAGACGCAGGCACTTTCCAGATACATCAGGTTTAATGTTTTTTCTAATTCACAGAGGATTTCTCTACTCAGAACGGGTGCCCTTTTCTCTCTCTGAACACTCCGTGGTCAGCCCAAAAAGGTTGAAAGTTGGGATCGTCCCGAATGAGGCATGTGAGACACATTTTAAAACCCACCAGTATTGACAGAGACATCCCAGTGAATATTTAAAAGGACCAGAACGGTATTTGAACATAATTCTAAAATACATCTCTCTTACCTGGTTAAAAGCCAGCCAGCATATTGAAATATACACCTCTTTAATGTATATCCATGTTTTTTAAAATTCCTTTCTGTGTTTAATTGAGCTGTATTTATACTCTCATTCAACTTATTTCTGTTGTCCCGTCTGACAACTTCTGATCATTTCTCTTAAACATTCTTCGGTGTCGATCGGCGTCTCCTTTCTCTTCAGCCTATAATCAAGGAACCGAGACTCTGGTTATGACATTCAAAATCAAAATATCCTCCAATACAGAATCGTTTCACATTGTCCAATAAATGTAGCACCGGCGATCGGCTTAGACGACAATGATTTTGAACCCATGACCGGCAGAGTCCTAATACCCGTTGCACGATCCGACAGACGTCGTCATTACCGGCGAAAAACAATTGAAAATATATTTGTGTCATTGCTTTGCAGCTTCATTAATCTGTGTGCTGTGTGTAAATACCCATCTTGTACACTTTAATTAAAAGATTCAAAGTCCAATTAGTGACCCATTTTCTGACCCATGCACGTCCCCTTTATCAAAGCTGCCCTTGACGTCACAGCGGCCAGTTTTTAGTCAAAACTCAGCTATTAGCCATGTGTTTTGGGAATACACTGCTTGGAAAACAGATTATTGTTTGGGGAATACAGAAGTCAAAACAAGCTCCTTGAAAATTACGAACGGCCTTACGCTGGATGAAGAATAAAGCAGCCGATTTCTTTAGTTCTAGCTGTTGAAATCAATTTTTCCCCCTTTCATTGTCAAATCCTGCCTGCTTTTTGACAGTGTCATTTTCAAGAAGCGGATCTTCCAATTTGGGCTTTTTCTACACAAAGGTCATAAGGATGCTTTTTTTTTTTAATCGTAGGGGGAAAGAGCCTGCCTCTCCCCCAGATCATCACAAAACCTCGGACACTCTTGTAGAGAGAGAGAGAGAAAAGGGGGAGGCAGAGAATCACGAACCCGCAAGGAATTTCCGATCAGCAGGCCGCATAATCTCGGGAGCCGATACCAGCGAAGAGGGTGGTTTGCATGAAATCATGGACTTGTGACTCGCATGCCTTCGCGGCGGCTGCGGAACAACGCCTAATAAAGCGAATCTTTGCTCCAAGAGAGGCATGCCCAAGATGGGTCTGGAATGTGCCCCAGATAATTCTCCTGATAACCTATGGGACCAGCCTGCAGACCCAAAGAGTATATAAGAGGGGCTCAGAGGAGGAGGGAGAACACACACACACACACAGGCTACCGAAGAAGGGAGACGCATCCCGAAGACACCCTCCTCCAGGGGAAATTATACCGTCGTTCCTCCGTTTGACAGGTAGACCCGAGACCATGGACGCTACAAAGTCGGTTCTCACCAGCTTCGCCTTGCTCTTCCTTCTGGGCGTCCAGCGTTCGATCTCCCATCCGGTCAGCCTCAGCCCTGCCAAGGAGCTAGCCAGCATGGAGGTAAGGGACAGTGACTTTAGCGCTACAGCGCTGATGCAGGTCAAGGGTTGGGGGTTTGAAGGTAGAACCAAACTCTCTTTTTTTGGTAGTGGTGGTGAACCCACCTACTCACCCACAAAAGGATCACGGCAACTTTTAAAACTTGCACCTTTGTTAAGTGATTTTTTTTCTGGATTAAAACCCACAATTTCAGACACGGGGTTGGACAGAGGAGGTCGTAATTCCCCAGAGCTCACACAGAAATAAATTTGGAGGTCTGACAGTGGCTGCCGTTCTTTTACCTTAGCTTTTGCTGGAACAGAATCCTGCTCAGCCAGTTTTCTGAAAACAATTTTTGCTATATATATAGCAAACTTTTTTCAGAAAACTGGCTGTGCAGGGTTATATATGAGGACTACAGCCCCATTGACCACGCTGTCTGGGGGATTTTGTGTAGCCCACCCCCCCAAGAAATGAATTTTTCCAAACTTTGCACAGAATGTGTCCCTGGTCCCTTTACGTAGAGAACCAGCTGAAGATCATTGATCCTTGTGGAATAAAGGTTTCTGTCCGTCTCTTAGCCATGGGAACCCCCAGATGTAGAAGCAGTCTACCTTAAGAGAGAAGGAATTTTAAAAGGAAGGAGCATTGCCCCTGACTGTCCCCTCTTGGGAAACAGGGCTATGAGACAGACATCACCCCGTAGCAAAGATGGGCGAGTTTGCTGGCTTACGATGGTTCCACGGGAATCCTGGATGAATCCCACTTCCCAGGGTGTTCAGATGGGAGCCAGAATAGGAAATCTTTAGGAACGTTTGCAGAGAAATCATCTCTCAATGGCCAGGGCAGGTCCATGGGGCATTTCCAGGAATCGGAGAGACACTCCCCCCCCCCATCTTGGTTGAAAAAGGAGGAGACGGTGGGAGAGAGATTTGAGGACCAGCTTCAAACACCCAAAAGGCTATTCTGTTCCCGAAAGGGAGCAGAGAGATCTGGACAGGATTGGTAAACGGCAGAGCAAGAAGGCAGGGAAGCAGATTCTTGGTCAAAAAACACAGACTTGGTTAAATCAAGAGATGAACAGATCATGAATTCTTTCTCTGCTGCACATGCATTGGTTAGGTTGCATTAGGCCAGTGTTTTGCTACGCAGTCGTGATCCCTCTTTGAATTGATCCCATTTAGCGCCTAAATTCTTTCTTTGCTGCACATGTATTGGATAGGTTGCATTAGGCCAGTGTTTTGCTATGTGATCCCTCTTTGAATTGATCCCATTTAGCACCTGCCTATCTGCTTGTAAAATACTCCAGGTGGGCTTTGCATTGCAATATAGACACCCATGTATCTGTTTTTGTTTTTTTTTTAAAGGGGGATTAAAACTCTCCAGCGGTGTGGAGGAAAATAAAAATGGGTGAGAATATGAAGAATCAGCAAAGTAATTTTAACGTGATGGGCCAAAACTGTGCTACTGAAAAATAATCTTCTGATAGGACAGCCGGTGACCAGGGGGGGTCTGTTTTATTTAGATCTCTCCTTCCTTCAGAGGAGATTTGTTAAGATTAGGAGGTTACCTCTTAGGTTGCACCAAGCCCAGGCTGGATTGGATGACCTCTAAGGTCCCATTGCCCGATGGTGAATTCCTATGTTTCTTTTCTGTTCCAGGCGCTTCTGGAAAGGCTGGAGGGGAAAATCGCCTTGATGGAAGACTTGCAGAACAACCCGGACCCTGAGGAGGCGGACACCCCAAGAGAAGATGTGGACGGGTTCTTGGAAGAGAACAGCGACCAGCGGACGGACCCCCGGGCCGATCCTGCGCCTTTCACCTCCGACCGGGGCTCCGTGTTCAAGCACCTGCGAGGGCTCCAGGCAGCAAAGAGCATGCGGGAATCGGGCTGCTTCGGAAGAAGGCTGGACAGGATCGGGTCCGTCAGCGGGATGGGATGCAGAGGTGAGGCCCTCCGAACGACGCCTGGTCGGCGACTGGCGGCCACTAATTTGGGGGGAAAGCCCACAGTTCCCCAAAATGGGCCCATAACAGATGCGACTCTTTTAATTTTATGAAGATACCAATAGAATTTGTGTGTGTGTTTGTCAACCAAAGAATTAGTGAAATGTTTCAAAGTGTTGATGGTCAAGTTACACACACTCTTCCAACAAGTAACTTTATTTAGTTACAATAAACTAAGTGTACTTTAAACAGGGACTCATCCAGATATGCGAGAAGCAACCTCTCGGGGTGTGTGTGTGTGTGTGTGTGTGTGTGTGTGTGTGTGTGTGTGTGTGTGTGTGTGTGTGTGTGTGTGTGCGTGTGGGGGTGTGTGTGAGAATCCCAGCACCCCAGCAACATCCAAACTGTTCTGTGCCTATAATCAAAGTTGATTATATAATATGTGTGTGTGTCCTTCATTGGGTAATAATTAAATGACCCCCAAACCTGCAAGAAACCACAAAATTATGTTAGCAAAGGCTAATTTTAAAAAAGAGGACATTTTTGAGCTGTGCCATTTCCAACGAGCAAGCAGTCAGAGGGGGAGTAGGGTTAACCTCCATCCATCATCATCACCCTGACCCCGATCCCACTGCGCCCCCTTTTCCAGCTAGCCCTGTGCATTACCCCATCTTTTCCTCTATGATCATATCGGGTATAATTTTAGCAAACAGTCTGTTCTGCTTGTGTTTCAAACCTGGTTTTCTCCAAAACCAAAAGGAAAAATGATCATTGGCTAAGGCCATTTATTATAATTGGCAAATCTTCATTTCAGGGGATTCCGTGTCCGTTCCCTGACGTGATGACTGACTAAGGGAATTACATTTAATACTTCAATGCAAGTTTAAACCCAAAATGGAATTGGAGCTAATGGTGTTCCGTCATATAAAAAGAACTTAGGTCTAACTGATGTATTTCCCCACCATTTCTTCTTTCTTTCTAGGGTACAGAAGGAATTAAATCCAGGTTCCCGTCATCCCACCTGAATCCTCCCCCTTAAAAAAAGGATCCAGAATTCCTATGGCATATGGATTTCCGAAGATGAACCCGTGTTTTCTAGAAAACTCCGGAACGGATGCAAATGTTCTGCCTATTTATTTATTTATTAATTTATTTATTATTACTTGGCCTCTGCTTCGTTTATTTCTTTTTTGGGGGGGGGTTATTCTCTGTCTCTCTCCCTTTTTGTTTCTTAAAAGAAAGACTTTCTTACTGTGGGCACAGAGATCATGGCTTGAAAGAATAACGACAATAATAAAAAGAACACTTTGAATCTTTTTCTCATGTGTTGGCTTTGGGCTTTGTCGTTTTCCTCCTTTCTCCTCATTTGCTGGGGGATTAAAAAGAAATGAGAGGACCAGTCTTTCCCCAAAAACCATTTTTCAAAGAACAGGATAATTCAGTGATTCCCCCACCCTGCCCCCAGATCATACAATCAGTCAGCCTATGCAGGTTTCTAGTCCACAACTGGAAATTTTCCTTTTGTAATTTCAAGTTGGGCGGAAGGAAAACACGTCAAGTCACCTTGAACACAGTCAAAAACCAATATCCAAATAAAACGATCCACAAAATACTATTTTCTCCTAGATAAATATGTGTAAGAGTTTAAAAAAATATTCTAACAGAAGTGATAAGTACTGCTGGCTCAAATCTGAGGGGTTGTTAAAAACCTATCCTTAATTCGTTAAAATTTGCTATTATATGGGATTTTCTCGAGATAATTCTTTCTCACCAGACAGATCTCAGTGGAGGCTGGAGGCTTCAATGTCAGTGAGGTGATAAGTCCACTGCGGGTTTAAGTCAGAACTTCGAAGGCGTGTTCTCCAACATGCCAGACCTCTCTTGGAGACAGGGTTTGGGGAGAGTCTTTCAAGGGGGTAACACTCCAGGGCAGTATCATGGAGAGAGGGGCAGATTAGGACTCAGAAGACCTGAGTTCGAATCTCTGTTCAGCCACGGAAACCCAGATAAAGGGGGTGGCACAGGTAAAATCCACTCCTAGATATTCTCACGTAGCTTGGAAAGCCCATCGTCTGGCCGAATTAGGGCGCAAATGGATCTCACTTCAAAAATAACATGATTTCACAAACATGCTTTGTTGTGCTTTGTTTCACGTCACGGATTTCTGAGCCGGGGAACCCATTCCTGGTTCACACGGTCAAGCAACCAGATCTGATCATCCTCACCATTTCCAACAGGATTTAAAACAATATAAACCGAGCAGGTTTTGGCAAAGGGGGGAAAAAACAAAAACCCAGCAAGAACAAGAGATGTTCCGAAGCTCGTACTTGGCATAAAGAGTCCAGCAAGGGAGCCTCCACTGCTCAGAGAAGTCTACCTCCTAGTAAATGGTTTTAAGCAAGGCAAGGGAGGGGTTACCTAGAGACATGCAGTAACAAGCCAGACCAGAAGGGCCCTTGAGTCTCGCCCTACCGGCGGTTTACCTTCGGAGGACTCTTCTGACCTCCTGATTTTATTATCATTGGTCTGTCCGTTCTTCTGCCTTTTCCTCCACGACGCTCCAGGTTCGGCAGGCTTCCTTTTCCTCCCCCCCTTTCATTGCCATCACCACCGCCACCCTGCGAGGTAGGCCAACCTGAGTGGAGCTGGTCTCCACCCCCACCCCCAGGGAGTCGAAGAGCCCAGCAGTTTGCAGGGCGGTGTCTTCAAATCAAACCCCGTGGCTTGTACTGGATCTTGCAGCCGATCAAACCTCCTGGCGAATTATTTAGCATCTCTCTCAGGACCGCCTCGGAGGGGCCTTGTTTGGGGTGGAACTCGAACCCAGAACCCTCACCTAAACTTAACGCACGGGCTCTCCGGTCTCACCCTCCTGCTGCATCCCGTTCTCTGAGATCTGGGGGCCCAAAAACCGAATGTCAGAGGAAAGGGGGGGTTCAAAAGGGGGTCCAGGGATGGTCCTGGAAGTGCTTCTGGGCCAAAAGAAGAAGGCGGTGATCCGCGTCAGTCCTAGGGGACCACCTAATGGGACCCATGCACCACTTGTCATTCCTTCCAGGAGACCTGGGTTCGAATCCCCACTCGAGCCAGGGAAACCCACGGGTGTTTTATCCATAGCAAACACAACCCATGGGGCGTAAATCCTCCTGACCGCACACTCCTGTTGGGGAACAAAATCCATACAGGCCAACCCATCTTCAACACCTTGGTGCTGAGCCAGGGAGGGACTGATTAGAGATGGCAGCTAAGATTTAAAACCACTGCCCCGACCAAAACCATAATATTCCTGCTGCCCTTCATCGTAGGTTCCTTCCCCCCCCGCCGCCGCCTACACAGAGCTCCTGCACGAGAGCCATGCCGTGCGTCGTCCAGCCGAAACAGGCTTAAAGCAACCCTAATAGGGCTTTCAAGGGAAAAGAGATATTTAAGGTTTGACCAGTTCCATTTTCCCTGGCTGAGTGGGAATTCGAACCCAGGTCTCCCAAGTTCCTCCTCCATTCATTACGCCACGCTGGGTAGCTACAAGAAGCCTCTGGCCCCATTAACTCAACAGAGGCACTTTAGGTTATGGTCAGACTCACTGCCCTGCAAGTATGCCAGCCTGCAAGGTAACACAGGACCATTCCTCACTACAGAACTCCACAGCGTCTGCCAAGGTGGTTCCAAAGCATTCTTCCATCCCTCGAAGAAGCTGGAACATCCCAGTGTCCCATCAGCAGAGGCTTCCGAGCCAGAAAACCCGAGTTTGACAGCTCCCCCCCCCCGGGGAATCTCTGCTTCCGGGGAGGCCGCCTCAGGAAAAAGATAACCAGGAGACTGATCGGGGAGCTTCTTTTGCACTCGGGATGTGTGAAGCCTCTTGAGATGAGTCGAGAGGAATGCGGATCACAAGGGCCCCCAGTCAACCTTCCCCGTCGATGACGGACGCCCAAAAGCCGCTCGCCTTCCGGGCAACACGGATCTCTTTAAAAGGAGATCGCTCCTGGTTATCTTGCATCTTTTATCGAGAAGGGGTGACGGAATGTGGTGGGGTTCATTCTTTGGCCATTAGCTTCGTTGGTCCCATGAGTATAAAGATGGGGACGGTCAGGATTGAACTGTCACAGCTGAAGAGAAGGGAGGCAGAGGAGAGGAAGGCTTGCAGAGAGCCCACCATGAGATCCGTCCTGCTTCTTCTTCTGCCCATCGTCTTCTTGGGGGGTCACCTTCCAGGGAGAAGCAACGGGCACCCCGTTTATGGATCAGAACTGGCAGGTTTCAAGGTAAGAGATGGCAAAGATGCTCCTGCATTCGTGGGATCAGGGCCCGGACCTCTCTCAACCACTTGCCGGCTCAATGCGGGGTTGCAGAGAACCGATGGGGCCCTTCCAGCCCGGGGTCTGAAGTCCATTCTGTTTGGAAATCTGGGTTTCAATCTGTGTGGATGTTTAGCGCTGAAGTCGCCAGCTTTTATTTTTGAAAGGCACCTTGACTTATAACACAGGCGGGGAAAACAAGCGTGGCCCTCTCCATGCTCTATGGATTGCATTTCACATGGGGAAAATTAAATTCCACTTTGCTACTTGGCCCTACACAGAAATAGGCAGTATATTATAGTAACTGTTCTAATCAGTGCATAGGTCCCCCTGTGTGAAGCATGTATTTTTTAAAAAAACACTGCAGCCAACATGGATAGATGTAGAAAATCAGGGCACCAGAGCCATAATTGGGGGATCCGGATCAGAAAATGAACCAATGTACAGAAGAAAGTACTTAAAATGTGGAATTCCCAGAGAGGAAGTGGCCATGGGCTTGTGTTTTGAGCCAAGGAATTTCACACGCTTAACCAGGATATTTTTTTTTCACCCATGTTGGGTGCCCCCATCCTAGGTGCTGGGATGTGTGAATTGCCTCAGACAGAACAAGCACAGCATAGCTAAGGAGCTGGGCTATGAGTAGACAAGCCCTTCGTTCGAATCTTGCCCTGGCTTCCAATCCACGACCATCACGCTGGCCTACCTTGTAGGGTCATCGTAACAGTGGTTCAAATGACAAAAGGAACCAGCAGCTAAGCATCTGTCACATATACTATGGCCAAAGTTTCTCTAACTTTAGGCTTCTCGAGGCTGGCGGACTACAACACCCAGCCTCCCTGGCCAGGGGCTGGCTGGGGAGGATGGGGTTAACAGTCCACCCTCCTATGGGGACCTAGAATGATGAAACAGAGAGGTAGGAGATCTCAAACTGCTTAATGTGTCTGGTATCAAAACAAGTAAGGAGGTGAGGATGCTGGGAGAATATACAACCGAGCAGTCATTTGGGTTACGGGCTGAATTAGATCCATTTGGGTCTCCCTTTTTAAAAAACTCTCCTTCTCAGGCCCTCCTGGAGCGTCTGGAAGACAAACTCGAACCCAGAGCAGGAGAAGCAGGGCTCGAGAGAGATTTTAACGAAGCCAACGACGAAGCAGCTGGAGAGGATCCTCAGACTTTCGCTGCGTGGGATGACGAATACCCAAAACCTCCAAGCCAAGGGGGGTTTGGACGGAGCGACGGGTGGTCCTCGGAGCGGGTCCCCCCCGCCGCGAGGAGCAGGCTGGGAGCCTTGCTCACTGCCCCCCGTCGGGTCTCCAATTGTTTCGGCCAAAGGATCGACCGGATCGGGTCCTCCAGTGGACTCGGATGCAAACGGAGCAGGGTGAGAGCCGGGGAGTGG